CTTCTCGCGGGCGCGCGCGTCGACGACGTTCGCGGCCGTCTGCGCACCTGGAGGGGGGGGGCTCTTGAGAGGACGTCCTGTCCGCCTTCTCAGGTGCGCTCACTATTGCCTCCAGCTCGAGGTCGGCCTGGGACTCGAAGGGGTCGCTCTTCGGCTCTCCAGAAACCAGGTCGGTCGGAAGGAAATTCGAAGACTCGTTTGGAGGCCCCTCAATGCTGAGGTCGGGCTCCAATTTCGCCTCCCCCTTTTCGCAAGCCCTGATCCCAGCGCTGCAGCTGATGGCGTCGGGCTCTGTATTCGCCTCCCTCTTCTCGCATGCGCTGTTCTCAGTACTGTGGCCAGCGATGATGTCGGGCTCCAGCTTCGCTCCCGCCTCTCGCATGCCCTGATCCAAGCGCTGTAGCGGGTGATGTCGGGCTCTATATTCGCCTCCTCATTCTCGCTCTGCTCGCTCTCACACTTCTCGCAAACAATTTTCACGCGCTGCTCGCAAACCGTTTTCTCTGATCCAGCCGTGGCGGCGAGGCTCGACGAGGAGTAGCAAGCGATATTGGGCTTCAGCTTCGCCAACTTAGCAGCCGCTGCTCGCCCGTCTCGCTCTTGCGTCTCTCGCTCCTTCTCGCGCGCCTCGACACTGTAGTTGATCAAGTTCGGCTCTGTCTTCGCCTCCCTCTCCGCCCATGGCTCTCTGCGCTGTAGCTGGCCATGTTGGGCTCGACCTTCGTCTTCGCCTCCAGCTTCTCGCATCCCGCCGTGTCTCTGCGGCTGGTTGCGGTGGGCTTCAACTTCACCTCCCCCTTCTCGCATGACATGGTTCCAGTGCTGTAGCTGATCGTGTCGGGCCCCATCTTCGCCGCCCACGTCGCGTAGTCGCTGGTCCCTGGCTCGAGACTTGCGGGGCAGGTCTCAGCGCTGTAGCTGAACGTGTTGGGCACCGCCGTCGCCTCCCACTTCTCACACTTCTCGCGCGCGGGTTCCTGCAGCCAGCCCTCGACGAAGTCGTAGTCGAAGGGCGTGGCTGGCCAGGCGCCGAAATCCAGCTCGACCAGCCCGTGGTCCAGGGCGGCCTGGCGGCTGGTCGCCAGGAGCAGCCCCCCCCATGCGCGCCGCTGGCTTTTGCTCGCCGCGGAGCGCCCCACCTCCGTCGGGGGCGCGCGCCGCATAGAGCCACGGCCGGCGGCGCCAGCAGGCAGGCTGCCTTCAGCACGCGCGCCGAGGGCCGTCGCTGGCGGCCTCGGCGATGCCTAGCTGTCTCCTTGGCCGCCGTCTCCAGCCGCGAGGCGCCGGCTGCGGCGCGGCGGCAGCGGCGGCGCCAGGAGCAGCGCGCGGCCGCGCATCGGGCCCAAGGGGGGGGGCCCGCGAGGCAAGGGATGCCTCGCCCCCCCAGGGGCGCCGATCGGCTCGCGCGAGCCCGACCTCCTGGGCGGCCTGATCGCTGGCGATCGCGCGAGGGATCGATCGACCACCCGACGCGACCCTGATCTGGCCCCCTCCCAGCAGAGGCCAGATGGGCTTAGGAGGAGGAGGAGGGGGAGGAGGAACAGGAGGAGGAACAGGAGGAACAGGAGGAGGAGGAGGAAGAGGAGGAGGAAGAGGAAGAGGAGGAGAAAAAGGAGGAGGAGGAGGGGGGGGAGGAGGAGGAGGAGGAGGAGGAGGAGGAGGAGGAGGGGAGGAGGAGGAGGAGGAGGGGGAGAAGGAGGAGAACGAGGGATTCGGCATGGGGGGGCTTTGGAGCGTTCACTTTGTGCGTGCGTGCGTGCGTGCGTGCGTTGCGTGCGTGCGTGCGTGCGTGTGTGTGTGTGTGTGTGTGTGTGTGTGTGTGTGTGTGTGTGTGTGTGTGTGTGTGTGTGTGTGTGTGTGTGTGTGTGTGTGTGTGTGTGTGCGTGTGCCTCTGGAGTGCCTTCTCATCGCCGCGGCTGGAATCTTCTCGAGACTCTTCTCGGAAGCGCCCTAAGGGGGGCAAGGGGGGTCGGCGTTGCAGACGAGGGCGACGGGGGAAGGAGGGGGGGGGGAGGGGGGATGAGCAGGAGCAAGAGGAGAAAGAGGAGGAGGAGGAGGTGGAGGAGGAGGATGGGGAGGAGGGGAGGGAGGAGAAGGAGGTGGAGGAGGGCGGGGGGGGGGTGGGGGGGCGATAAGGAAGAGGATGAGAAGGAGGAGGAGGAGGAGGGGGGGGAGGAGGGGGAGGAGGAGGAGGAAAAGGATCAAAAAGGACAAGGAGGAGGAGGAGGAGGAGGAGGAGGAGGAGGAGGAAAAAGACGAGGGCGGGAGGAGGAGAAGGATGGGGGGGGGAGGAGGAGGAGGAGGAGACTCGACTCGACTCGCTCTGTGGCGCCACGTCCTGCTTGCAAGTGAAACTTGGAAGACTGGCGCAGAGAAGGTGCCCGTAGCGGTGGCAACCGGCCGACCTGGCGTGGCCCCGCCACCGATAAAGCCCGTCGGGGCGCGCGCCCTGGGCCCCCCGGCTGAAGCGCGCAGCCACCGCAGCTCGCTTCAGCATGCG